TCTGTATATTCATGAATGTATAGCTAACAGAATGATTTTGTTATGAAGAAGAAATGTTCTTCACTGAAATCGTCTCATGTTTTTTATATGTTCAAATGTTATTGTTTTGAACGACAAGTGTCACAAAAGAGCCATATTCTATTTAAATTATCTACGGACGAAAGGAAATAGTTTGATAACTAAGTGACTTTACGTTAACTATGCAAAATCTGAAAACTTTAGTGTTACTTTGTTTTGTCCAAGTTATTCTTAGTAAGATAGTTAGTACTAGACATTATCTTTATAAAGATTTCTTACAAAGTAAGAGTACTTAGCAGTAAAATCGCTAACAATATTTCACAAAGGTTTTATACTTGAAATACACCATAAAAATGAAATATTATTAAAGTCAATGAACTAAACCTCAATCATACTTCCACACCCGTCTCTGTAAAATAATAAGTATATAAGACTAAGTGATATACTAAAACGTTCAATCACGGTCCTAAAACCAGCCGTCAACACTCCACAAAGTAAAACAAAAGCAGAACTCTCAGAAATTTCTGTAATCTTTCACACGGTGAAAGACAACAGGGACTTAGAACTTCACAATCGTTTCAAAAATGACCTTGGTAAGATATAAATTTTGGTAAACAAGCTGTTACCAGAGAATGTAGCAAGAGTCACCCCACTCATGATATACATAGTTGGCAGAAAAGAGGTAGTCCCTGCCGAAAATAGGTTCCGGTTAATCAAAGTCGTTTTCACATCAACTGAAGGGTGGAATCTTATTCTGAAGAGTGCTCATAGACGTCAAGGAACTGCAGGATTCGTGAGTAAGGATTTTCCCTTTGATGACCAAGCCAAAAAATGTCAACTAGAAGAACTAAAATCCAGATCAGCAACAGGAGAGAAAGATCCAAAAGTGGTGGGCCTTCTTGTGGTGAGGCTTAAACAACAAATGGTGCTGAAGCTCCTATGGATATGACGAAAACTCACTCAGGCGGTTTTATCGTTTTGCAGACTAATGTACGTAGTCTGATAAGCAAATGGTAACAGCTGAGTAACGTGATAGGCACAGAAAGCCCTGACGTTATTGTAAACTCAGGAACGTGGCTTTCTTCTGAGATCAGTGACAGTGAAACCTATCTACAAGGATTCGTTCCTTCTCGAAGTGATAGGTAAGAACGCAGAAGTTGTGGTGTTATCCTTTGTGTGAAGAATTTATTAACTGTAGGAGCTATAGGAACAGTTTTACACAAAAGCGGGACATCTGAGATGATACATTGCAAACCAAAATGCAAGTGATACGATGTTAACCTATCGAACATGAGGTAAAAGACTTCCTCCCGAATAAGTTGACTCTCCGGACAAATAACTACGAATCCCTAGTTGTAAAAGATATCAACACACAACTATTTGACTAAGACGGCCTAACAATAGGAGCATCACGTAATTCGAATAATGGTTAATGTAAACATCAATTTCCTTCGCCCTATATAGCACATTAGGGCAGCAGCCCAGTACAATTATTAGCATGCTCCATAAGTCCTAGGCCTTGTATTCTTGCACACAGGTGGTGTATGCTCGATCCAGCACATTTCAACCCTTGGTAAAAGTGATCATGTTGTGATCATCTTCAGATTCACAGCAGCCATCTTGTGCCATGCCGATCCCCTAACTAGACCCAATGTATAAAATTGAACATGGCAGCTATTAATTTGGCAGCCTCTTCAGAGGACTAAACACTCAATCCAGCCTCATTTAAGACTGCATGGTGCTTCTTCAAACAGTTATATACACGAGTGACTCAGTCGTTCATTTCATGGACTGTCCCGGGAAGAATGGAAACATTGTCCTCCGTGGACAAACCGCGAAATCTAAAGCTTTTTATGACACAAGAAAGCGTTTTGCAGTCTTGTCACTTACCTTCATACTCCTGAGGTGAAAACACACTGCGAAGAAGCCTGGAATGAACGTACTGCTGCTATCCGTCGGCTTCGGATGTTTTGAAACATGTCTTGCCAAAACTGCACTGCAACATCCGAAGAGGTGATTCTCTTATATGGATCATAGGAATAAGACGTATCGTGGTATACCCACCCTATTTGGATGAAGACTATGAGAACAAAGCAGAAGCTATGTCTGGATATTTTGCTGAGATATTTACCCAGCAACCTTCTATGGACACTAATTCACCAGTAAAAGTTTTGAGGTCTAACAGAATTAACTCCGTGGTACATTTATGAGATTAAGTACTATCGATTTTGAAGATTCAACGCGACTGGATGAGCTGCAACCAAGACTGCTAAGAGGGCTTCCACTCTGCGTAACTGTTCAATTGACTACTATGTTTAGATTGTCCTTCAGTGAAAGCTCAGACCCCTATCAATAGAAGGACATCAAAGTCACATCTATCTACATGGCAGATTCTAGGCAGTACCCAATATATTATAGACGGATAAGCTTGACTACTACTGTAATTCAAATTCTAGAAAGAGTAACCAAGAAAGCCATTACGATCCTCCTAGAGAGCAACACTCTATCGTCTCCCTAGTAACATGACTTTCACAGAGGTTTCTTTTGTTTGACAAACCTTTTCAGATACAGAGGAACTTGGGTTGGGATTAAGGACGATAGAATACTTGTAGATGTCATTTCCATGGACTTTAGTAAAGCGTTCGACAAGGCGACTGATTCTATGTTGCTTGAGAAACCGGGAATTTTCGGAATCACTGAAGATAGATCATACAGTTTCTTGTTGATGGGGGACAAAAAGTAAGGATCGGTGGAATGTCACATAGCACATTCATAAACCTATAAATAAACAAGCTGCTGGATATAACGAAATCCCCTATAGTTCTTTATACTGATGATGTAAACATTTGGTGAGGAATTAGAGAGGATGAGGATACATGTGCACTTCAGATAGACCTAAACAGCATGTTGACCTGGTCAGAGAAATGGCTGATGCCTACTAATTCAGGTATGTTGGCATGCACTCGGAGCACACAGATGACAGCACTTGGGTTATTGGTGACTTCTCTACTCCAAATAATGACCCATAATTATCTAGAAGTCATAGTAAATTATGATTTGATAGGCACAATGTGCTCTCGATTGGTCACAGCTCTGAGTTTTAGGACACCTCGACAGTACGCAGAAGGTTTACAAAAATAAATAGTGATATTTTCACTACCTCGTATATATTTTTAGTTAAGTCTAAGCTAGAAAACCATGCACAAGTGGCAATTTTTTGTCTGAAAGTTGGCGCAGACCTCCTGGAAAGATTTCAAAGGAGTGGCACTGGTATGTTCCCCGCAATGGCTAGCCTGACCCACAAGGGACGACTTAAGGATCTGAACCTCATCTTTTTACTATACCGCATCCAATGGAAAGATCAAGTCATGTTATACAGGATTTCAAGAACTAACTCTAAACCTGGTCCAATTTCTCCATTCCTTCTTACTATGTCGGAACACCTCAGAGGACATAGCAGAATACAAAAGTGCAGGACAAACATAGTCCCACATAGTGCAGGCTCTCGCGTCGGGTAATCAACTCCTGAAACCGACCCGCAGAAGAAGTGGTACCTGGGTCATCAATTGACTCCTTCAGAAGAGGACTGAACAATAGCAGGGATTTATTGAGAAAGGATCAATGCATGCTGGTGGCTTTCTATCGTAAAACAATAAATCTGAAATATGACATACAAATTGATGATCTAGCATTATGTTTCTTTAATTTAAAATTATACTCAAAAGAACAGGAAGGTTTTTACTCTACAAAGAAGCAGTTTTCAGGGCGTTTCTTTCGTCAACTAAATAAAAAATAAACCAGTTCAGCACCGTTGTGTATCCTATCATAATGGTGAATTAAAACTTTTACTATTATTCTCACTGAGAAGGAAATATTACTGTTAACAGGACCTCTAATATTTGCTTTCGCATTTGGGAAGAGTAGGATATGTCCAAAAGCCAAAGACATTACCGCCCAACCACAGTAATTTTTAAATACGTGCCTTAGAAGGAATGTATACTGGTAAAGTTGGAAAAACAACCAGTTTATTGACGTTTCGATCTTCAGTTAATGGTTAAGCAGACTACTAAATATGGCTATATACCACCACGTAACTGGAACCTTGTGTAGTTGAGACTATTACTGCATTATATCATGACTAAGGATGTGTCAGAAGGGCCACTAAGTTAGTATCGTCATACTTTCCAATCATACTCCACATTACGCTAACCCGAAGTTTAGGCAATGAAGATTAGTCAACCTCAACCAATCTGAAATTTTTCGTAATTATTTACTCTTTGAATTAAATATGAACATCTGATCCACAGCAATTAAGGTTATAAAATATAAGCAGCCAACATCTTAGGTTATTATGAACACGCTAAATATTCAGTCAAAGTACGAAGCCAATCACAGATGTCGATAGCTGCCAACGATAAAATATAGTGCCTTTTTTCGACAAATTCTTCCTTACAAAAAATACTATCTAAAGTTAGTAGGTTGAAAACAATACTTATGGAAACTAGATTGAAATTGAATTTGATTTTAGATCAAACTAATGTCTAATGAAGCATAGGGAAATGAGATTTTAGCAATACCAACAAATATCTGGTGAAGACATCATTGTATTCCTCGTGCCTGTTGTGGAATGAAGTAACCCCTGATCCAAGAATTGTACATTTGTATGGTAAGCTTTGCTCTATATTCGAACTGCTGTTATGAATTATTCTCCAGCTCTTAAACTAATGTTCAAGCAGACATTCATCGTAAAGATAACTAGAAATAACATAATTACTGACCCAATATTTAGGAGTTACATGACAGCGACTGGAAACATAATTTCATATATTTTAGGCCAGAGAATCTGTTAGTATCGCAAACTTTCATATAAAGTTGAAGCACCATTAAATTCTATCTCAACAAATTGCCAAGAGAGCGCTCATCATGTGGACTTTAAGAATGATATGGCGATCACAACAGTTCGAACAAAAAGCTAGCGATATCTGACTTATTAAATTTATTCTCGAATAAATAACCAACGGAAAAAGCGAGAATACTTAATTATTCCTCAACAGTACATACCGTAGCTTTACAAAGTGCGCAGGAAGATGTAAAAAAATGAACTGATAGCATAAACCCAATAGATACTGCGGGTTGAAGCAAGTGAAATCAGAAAACCACAGATTTTAGTAACCAGAACAAACAAAATGCAGTTAAAGAAAGTGAGTGGTTCAAGTCTCATACAAATAATTCATTTTGCTTAACTGGCTTTTGCCGGTTTACCCCAGTCACTCATCCGCTCTTCGGAAATATCCTCGAGGTCATGAGCTTCCAAACAATGCTTGATTCCTTGAAGCTGGGACTTTATGGCATCTCTTGAAGCGGCATATATCATTTTTGTTTTAATGTTAAGATTCGTAGGTGTCCTACACTTCAATCAGTACAAATAGAAACTCACCAAACTACGAAAAACAAGGCGGCAACCTTGTTGGGGTATTCATAGTCATATACAGCGTAACGACCATCTCCAATCTGCATAGCCTCCGTTAAGTCTTTCTTGAAATCATCATACGTTGCGTCTTGAAATAATACAAAAAGATGAAGTCGAAAATAAACGTTTACCTCTTTTAGCTTGCCTTAAAATGCGTATTTCTTCCTTTTTATGTATGTGAAACAAAATATAGCGGTGCTTTTTATTCATTTCAAGTCATTGAAGGCAACAATACATGATGGGTGACACTTAATACCAGAGGCCTGAAATGAAAATAAAAATGTTTAAGTAACCCATCCCAAACTAAACAATAATCAATGTCGTGGGAACAACTAACCATTTTATCTCAAATAAGAGAAACCAAGTTCTCCGCCTAACGAAATGGGTGTAAGCGATTCGTTTAAACAAACATCGAGCTAATGCTCAAGTTGTAGCAGAAGAATTTACCGAAAACTGTTTCAACGGGAGAATTAAAGTAATGAAACCTTCTTAAACGTGAATTCCACAAATAGAAGTGACCTTCCTTTCCACAAATAGTTTTCGCTTTCCCAATACAAATCTACCCAATGGCCCCATGGTGAATCTCGACAATAGATAATTTGTTTGATGTTTGACATTTCCAAAATTATTCCCCTACCAGTCTGGCAGACGTTCAGGCCAATCATCAGTTCTTCATACCTACGAGATATCCACGAATACGAGTACAAAGAAGAGCTCAATAGGAAAGTCAGATGGAAGAGTATACTTGGTGATCTCATTGAACCCTATGCTGCTGATTTTGAGGGAGGATGCGGTGTCTTTTTAAACACCATAAACGATACCGACTACTCGATAACCGGCGCAGCAACTTCAAACCTCCCCCATGTCATCCGTACCGGAGGTTAGCGAAGAGAGTAGAGGCTAGGAATGATCAAGGATAGCACATGACGTAGGTAAGTAACGACAAACTGAGAGGCTTGACACGTTGCGAAGAACATTTCCAACAAACCGCAGATATCCATCGACAACCACTTTCGCTGGCTTGATACTGAAGCTCAGATGGCCGGAAAAAATAAGCAACAAGGAACTCCGGCAACGAACCAATCAAGAACCTATCGTTCAACAAGTATGCAAAAGTAGGTGGAGATGGGTTGGGCATGCACTGAGAAAACCGTTTGGGGCATCACGCGCCGGGCTGTCGGGCAAAACCCAGATGGGAAACGGCGAGCTGGGCGTCAGAGGCGATGATGACATGGAGGAGATAGTGTCAGGAAGAAATAAGAGTTTGTGTGCAGTCGTGGAGCCAGGTTGGAAAGATCGCAGAGAAGAGAATGGAGTGGAGACGTGCTACTGAAGCCTTATGTTCCAGTAGGAACCCAATGGACAAGTAATGACAATAACGACAAACCAAAAAGCTAATGGATGACAGCACATAAAGGAAAAAACCGCTTGGCAGCATGGGATGGCAGATCTGACAGTGGGGACTTATGGAAACCACCCTTATGTGTGAGAAACTCAAGAATGGTTTACGCCCTCGGATGCGCCAAGACACACCACAACGAAGACCATGAACAACACTGGGTACCTAATGACCAGTGCTTAAATCGCTAACCTCCTCCATGCCAGCCGTATTACTGCGGTTAGCGAAGTGAGTAGGGGCTAAGGGGGGGAAAGCAATGACAGGACATGACACAGGTAAAGTAGTGACGGACTAAAATGATGCAGAAGTGCTTGGCGCGAGGTGGTAGATCTGATGGTGGGGACTTATAGAAACTACCCTCATCTGGATTCGTTAGACCCAATATACCCCCCTTGCCCTCCCTTCCTTTAGGATTATAGTAACCATCTTCCCCTTACCCTGTGTGTGCATATCGAAGCTCTTACTGGTTCTCGAATGCAAAACATAATTACCATCTTTGAGCATTTGTAATGCAGCTTAAACTAGGACGTGGGAAATGTACTACATAAAACTTCGAAGGTATTCTACAAGTAGATTATTAGACTATATACCGCCTTACTCCCCGTGCCCTCTTTGGATACTCTAGTTGACAATATTGCTTCCCTAAATTCTAAGACAACCAACTTCAGTTCTCATGCTTCTGTGTCTCGCTTTATCGCCCGTTATGCAGATTATGGTAGCGGATCATACTAACACGCTTATAGGCGAGATACGCTCCAAACTTGTATTCAACACGTGAGAACTATCATCTTTTACCACCTATAGATGCAAAATCACCGGGAACTATACAATTCATCCCAGACTACGACGTTTCCTAAATACATGCCTCCGGTCGGGAGAGCAACTAGAAATATCGGTGCAAAAAACCGTTTGTGTCCAAACTTGCACGTTCTTCCACTCTTGACAACCACCCGCCCTGAAACGATGCTAACCGAAGGTGACCTCATATGATGCACCGACCCTGAAGTCTTACTGAATGATCTGATGGTGAAGCCTCTCATATCCTTCACCGTAATTTGACAACGGCAGCTGGATGGGATTGCATCCCTGGCTTTATTTATTCAACTGTTACGCTCTGCATGACACCGTACAATACCAGACCCAAATTTTCGCCCACCGCCTACCCCAGTTGCGCTTACTATCTGTAAACAGTACAGACTTATTGAATAGGGACATATTTACGGATTCATGTGTTCCGAACATTCGATATGCAATATATTCTCATAGATTACACGACTCTCTATGGCCAGGATACTTCCCATACTGCGGGGTTACACCCCCATTAAGATTCGCCAATGTGGGTTAACGACATCACTTCCATCCAATATTTGTGACTAGCTACATCTGAACAGTTGTTTACCATAGTTGTACAGCACGATGATTTATTTCTTTCTAGACTTTTACAGCCTCAGTAAGGAAACAACATTTGGATGTCGCCTGTAAAAACGGCATGTGTTTGTGTAATTCGTTATTTGGCATATATTACTATTATTGTTAGCATGCGATGCTGCAACTTCAACTTTTTCTCAGTCTTGAGGTTGTTCGTGGCTTCCTGTGACATTAAGACAACCATGATAGCTTGTCTTCTGCTATGGCAGACACATCAAAGGCTTCTTGGTGTATTGTCCCCCCATGTTCGTCTAAGCGGTGCTAGAAAACAGCCTCGTTGATCTCCTGCAGTTGTACAAATTTTGTGCACTTTTGAGCATTCTCTTTCTACCCCATTAGCTGCCATTTTACTCCCAGTTGATAACTCGCCTCGAAAATGCGCACAGTCAGTCTGCTCATATGGGCTGACGAAAGGTATCCATTTGGACTCCTTGCGTACGCGGTAGGACATGACAATTACTTACCAAATTCAAAAACTAATAGTGCAGACAACAACGCTTCAGCTAGACGTGCCAGTTGGTCATTTAATTGTTCGCAGTGACGCTTCAGTATTCGAGGCTTCGGCAGTGCTTTCTAAAAATGGTCACTCCTTCATGATTATTTTGCTGGCAATAATAATCAAGAACCTACCTTCTTTCAGACAAAGTCAGAGGTGATTCAGGGCGACCTAAGGACTTTATGCGATCTCTCACTGAGACTTCAGCTAATTTCATCTTCAGAGGCGTCAAAACAAGGCATGCTTTTTGAGTAAACGCAAGGGCACGGATTTGGCCACAGCTAATCCACCTGCCATCCGTGTTTCCCACGCTTCCACACCGGACGTTGTTGATTGGAGATACTCCACAAGTCTTAACACAAATGGTAACGATTTAGTGTCTCAAGCTATCGGTTATTGCCAAAATATCTGGATCACTGTGGCGACCAATAATAAATGCAACGAAAGTGATTCAGTGGAAACACTTCGCCAGATAAAGGGTGAACCAAGTTCATGGTTCACTACATCTAAACGTCAAGCTAGTTTCACCGTAGTAAAAAATGCTGTGTTTTATCTTTTGTATTTTTGCATTTTCTGTGCCTGCGCACAGAAAAGAGATGCAGATGTGAAGGCAACGGACATTTCCTTTCTCTGGTTGCAATATTATTACAATCCTTATCTTCACATTTCATGCTACAATTTATCCCGCTTCTTTCCCACTTCTCACTTGCTAGAGCCGCATCCAATTTATAATATTCTGCATGCCGCTGTTTTCCCTATCATCTTCCTTGAATTTCCTCAGACGTTTTTAAATCTCATTTCGCTTTTTTCCTTTGTCTTTTCCCATCTCCGCTGTTCTGTTCTCCGTGGTTACCTTCTCATTTTTCCTATCCTTAATCGTGGCCAGTGCTAACAGCTGCCCTGCGATACGACATCCAAGGCATCCATCTGCGCGACAGTCCCGGAATAAATCATACAACCTCACCCCCACCATCCAGACATGCCGGAAGTACAGCATGCAAGTGGGTTTAACTTCTACATCGTAGTCTGCCGAAGACTCGTTAACATACCGCAAGACTTAGAGGCAAGTGGGTAAAAGTCAGTTCCATTATACCAACTCGTGAAACAGGTATTATACACTGGATATTGGTAGTCCCTTCTCAGGTGTCGATGTTGACGACGGGTAAGCACCCGCGCATATTGTGGTATTTAATTCCAACCATTTTTCCAAAGCTGGCTGGGTAGGTTTTTCCAATTTATTGATTATCCATATGCGTAGCCGTAACCTCGCCTGGTTAACTAGTTCACTAGTTACTAGCCGGTCCTAAGCCCGGGTAAAGAGGGAAGGTTGGGCATAGGGCTAGCAACCCTACCCCGTAAAACAAATCTAACCGCTAAAGAAACTTCAAAGCACAAACAAAATATAAAAAATGAAAACAAACTTATTCCCCGCTGGAATCGGAGAGGCGAAATGACGCCAGTTGGTGAAAGCCTTCGGGAAGCCAATTGGCCGATGTGTCTTCTCTCGATGAAAGCGAAAGTAAACGTGGGGACATGGAATGTCCGCACGATGTTTGAACCCAGTAAGGCAGCCCAGATTGCAAAGGAGATGAGAAGGTATAACATCGAAGTGCTTGGGATTTGCGAAAGCAGATGGAATGGGAGTGGACTCTCCAAACTGTCAACGGGAGAATCAATAATCTACTCCGGTCACCCAGACGCCAACCACGAGCACACTGAGGGAGTGGCTATCATGATGTCCTCAAGAGCATCGAAGGCTCTCATGCAGTGGGAACCAATCTCCTCCAGGATCATGACAGCAAGATTCAACTCAAAAGGAAGAAAGGTCACAATCATACAATGTTATGCACCTACAAATAATGCAGAGCAAGAGAAAAAGGAGGAATTCTACAGACAACTTCAGTCAACACTGGACAAGACGTCAGTTGGCGATATCAAAATTCTAATGGGCGACATGAATGCCAAACTGGGAGGGGACAACACGGGAAGAGAACTAACCATGGGTCGAGAGGCGCTAGGTGAAATGAATGAGAATGGAGAATTGTTTGCAGAATTCTGTGCATTCAACGATTTGGTGATTGGA